TGGTACCTTGCAGTACAATTTCAGAGAGATCCATACACTTGAACACAAGTTATTGTCTGGAAACTAGAAAAATGCTTGTTTTTAGGCCCATTTTTGGCCCCAAATTCCTAAACGTTTAGGGCAATTACCCCCAAGCTCAAACCCAGCTTTGCCTTTGTGATATGGAACCTTGTAGTACAATTTCATAAAGATCCATACACTTACACACAAGTTATTGTCCTGAAACTAGAATAAACAGCTGCGCCATGAGCGCATGATATGCCCGCCGTCTTGTGTGTGAATTTTTATGCAATAAGCATAAATAGTTTCTGACATACGGCGTGACATGCGAAAACCCCCTTTTTTTTTGTATTAATATAACTAAGAAGTGTGTAAAATTTTAAGCAATAATCATAAATCGTTTTTGAGATACTGCGCGACATGTGAAAAACCCCTCCCCTTTTTTTTACAAAATACTCAATAACTCAAAAATAAAATTTTGAATCATCACCAAATAGTATACAGATCTTAAGGTTAATATAACTAAGAAGTGTGTAAAGTTTTAAGCAATAATCATAAACTGTTTTTGAGATACGGCGCGACATGTGAAAAACCCCTCCCCCTTTTTTAACAAAATACTCAATATCTCTAAAATAAAATTTTGAATCATCACCAAAAAGTATACAGATCTTAAGATTAATATAACTAAGAAGTGTGTAAAGTTTTAAGCAATAATCATAAATTGTTTCTGAGATATGGCGCGACATGTGAAAAAAAACACACACCTGTTTTAGTTACTAAGTCCCGTAACTCAAAAAGTTTTAATCTTATTTTCACCAAAAAGTATACAGATTATTTGACCATCAAAAGAAACAACTATGTTTAGTTTCATGAAATTTGGATAAGTCATTCTCAAGTTACGGTGCGACATGTTTAGGCCGGACAGACAGACGGACAGACAGACAGACGGACAGACAGACGGACGGACGGACAGACAGACGGACAGACAGACAGACGGACGGACACCGGACATTTGTATACCATAATACGTCCCGTCAAAAATTTGACGGTCGTATAAAAATGCTTGTTTTTTGCCCCTTTTTTGGCCCCTAATTCCTAAAATTTTGAGGCAATTACCCCCAAAATCAATCACAGCCTTCCCTTTGTGGTATGGTACCTTGCAGTACAATTTCAGAGAGATCCATACACTTGAACACAAGTTATTGTCTGGAAACTAGAAAAATGCTTGTTTTTTGCCCCTTTTTTGGGCCCTAATTCCTAAAATTTTGAGGCAATTACCCCCAAAATCAATCCCAGCCTTCCCTTTGTGATATGGAACCTTGTAGTACAATTTCATAAAGATCCATACACTTACACACAAGTTATTGTCATGAAACTAGAAAAATGCTAGTTTTTTGCCCCTTTTTTGGCCCCTAATTCATAAAATTTTGAGGCAATTACCCCCAAAATCAATCCCAGCATTCCCTTTGTGATATGGAACCTTGTGGTACAATGTCAGAGAGATCCATAAAAGTTATGTCTGGAAGTTACAAAAATGCTTATTTTTGGCCTCTTTTTGGCCCTAATTCCTTAACTGTTAGTACCATAACTCCCAAAATCAATCCCAACATTCCTTTTGTAGTATTGAACCTTATGATAAAATTTCATAGAGATCCATTCACTTAAACTAAAGTAAGATTGCGAAAACCAATGTGTCTTCGGACGACGACGACGCCAACGTCATACCAATATACGACAAATTTATTTGCGGATTTTGCGGTCGCATAAAAATATGGAGATGTGGTACGATTGCCAATGAGACATTCTATCCACCAAGTGGACGTAAGCAATTATAGGCAACTGTATAGCATGTTTGTTGGTATACATTTTGGCTATTCTAAAATTCTGGAATAATACAGGTTCTGCTATAAATAAAACTTTTCATTGCAAAGTATATTATTTGTAGATATAGGTACTTCAAAATGAAGATTATTACATAGCTAGTAAAGATTAATGCATTTACAATATTCATTTGTTTTTCATAAAGCTAAAACTGATATTTGCACAAATCTCTGCCACCCATTTTTTTCATGAGTATGTAAGTGTTTGTTTTATTACAAAGTCATTTATAGGTATTACAGTCATATATAATAATCATGATCTTAAGAGTCTCTTTATGATAACTGTATGATCAGCTGATAATAAGATAAAGTTTGTCAGTTTATCTAGTCCAAATACACAATATACATGGTATATCAATACTTTATATATTGACACACAGGTTTATAATCTAGAACATGTTTTTATATAAACCTGAAGTAAAAATTTAATTTTTCAGTGAGGTCAGCAAATGTTTTCTATTCACCATAATAAACAGGGGGAGGTTCATACCAATTGTTACTCAATACATTCTTTTGATCTAACAAACTTAAGAAATATCTGAGGGTCTGGATGGGAGGGTCTTTCATGTCTGTATTCTTTAATTTTTTAGGCCATTATTCTCTATTTTTTATTATTTTTGCCCATTATTCTCTCTTCTTTATTTTTTTGGCCCATTATTCTCTTTTCTTTATATTTTTTGCCCATTATTCTCTTTTCTTTATATTTTTTGCCCATTATTCTCTATTCTTTATATTTTTTGCCCATTATTCTCTTTTCTTTATATTTTTTGCCCATTATTCTCTTTTCTTTATATTTTTTACCCATTATACTCTATTCTTTATATTTTAGCATCTCATTATTCGCTCTTCTTTATTTTTTTGGCCCATTTTTCTCTATTCTGTAAACCCCCATCCACACACTGATATCTTAACGTCGATTGATGAAATAATTTCAAGGAGGACCAGAGTCTTATAAATGCATTTGTATAATATTACATTAGTATACTTTATAGAATATCTCTCATAGCTTTAATTTTCAACTTTCCCTATCTGTCATATGTCAGTAATGAAACTAAGTCTATATATTGTAATGAGAGTATTAATCATGAATACTATAGGATAAAAACAGCTTAACAATAAAACCCCTTATCTGAATTCTACTGTCTGACTACACTATCATTTATCAATTTATAAGTATATTCATAGTACAATGTTCAATTGTTATTTATCTCTAAACTGAAGGTCATATTTTTTTTTCCAAACCAGAAAATTAAACATACAGAAATATTGTACCTCAAGGCAAAGTAGATTTAATTACAAGCAAAAATTTATAATTTACAACTAAAGTTCATTTACATTTATCATACATATGTACAAGTGTAGTTAAAGTCATTTTATGTTTCTAAAAGATTGGTTCAGAACGGCTAGTATGATTTAAAAGATTTAAAACGTCTCCTTTTCATCTGTCAGAATATGGAATCTTATTCACTTCTGTTCTCAAAATTCTGGATCTGTCTCAGTTACATTATGGTGTCTTCTTTGAATGGAATTGATCATTCATGTCTGAATTCTTTAAAATAATAGTTTGATATCACTGATCAGTGACCACTTACATGCGCTCTGTCTACCTAGGTCTCTCATTAGAAATGTTGACCAATATTATCATGATTATGGCTTAATTCCTTTTAAATTATTTTTTCTTCACTAATCTTTTTTGAACAGTTTTAGTGGAAATCCATCTGCTTCCTATGATAAGTTGGTCATAAACATGTACATGATGTAGGTACTAATAAACACGTAGGTACTAATAAACACGTAGGTACTAATAAACACGTAGGTACTAATAAACACGTAGGTACTAATCAACACGTAGGTACTAATCAACACGTAGGTACAACATGTAGGTACTACTAAACATGTAGTTACTAATAAACACTTCAACTGATAACCATAAAATTATAAAGAGTGTGACTAGAATGAGAGAACAAATTATAAAGACTGTGACTTAGAATGAGGGAACAAACCCAACCAAAAAAAACATACAAATAAGAAATGTAAAATACACCATTAGTTTTCCAGCAATTTAAGGGTAAAGCTTTATGGAAAGCTATACGATTTTGTTCTAGAACATAATATCTTTTCATTTCTCGTATTAGACAGCTCCAGATAAAGTTTTCAATAGAGGTGACAGATACCAAAGGGATAGTCAGACCTATTAGTCTCAACAAAACTGACAGTGCCATGGTAAAAAACAAACTAGAGGCTCTGAAGAGTTAGTTGCAGCATTGAAAATATAATTTTCCAAATAACAATCTTTCAGTGGTTTGAAATTTTATACATACAAAGCATTTGAAGGACAACTACGGTAACATGAGAGAATGATGGGACCATATTTTATATTACTTTGATAGTGTTCAAGATATGGTGTACATGATTCAATTAGACCTTATCAATTAGGAAATACCTAGTAATTTCTACTATCATTAGGACAAAAATCTGGGGAACTTGGTTTCATTGATAGAAGAAATTTTAAAGTCCAGGAACAAGTGAGGGCTACATTTGTTTAGAATACTGTGGAGCATTTTGCCCTCCACAAAAGAGTACTATAAAATGTTTTTTTGACTGATATAGCCTTGCTGTTCAGTTTGGTTTCTTGGGATTTTGGACTAACCAACTTCATACCATGTGATGTCCAACAACATTTCAACTTTAAACATTTGTCAATGAAAAGACAATGTTGAATGATGATTTACTCAACTGTATGTATATCATCTAATTTGAATATAATTTGAATATAATGGAGATTCTAATGTTCTGCCCAAAACTGTAATAATCTGAAAAGAAATAGATTTACAAAAACAAAATCTGTTATTCATGGTTCTTGTCAGACTAATGAAACATATGATCTTTATGTCAGAAGCATCCCATTGATTTTTTAGTATGAATAATCAACAGATCAAAATGAGACTTCTAGGCTGAAATTGCTTTGTCAAATTTAACCTAGCACTTATTTAATGTGCATGTCCATCAATAAACTAACAGTTACCATGGTTACACTTAAGAAACATCAGTCCAGTTGACATATGATCATTCACAGACAAGCTTATTTCTGTTAGAAACTCAGAACCCTATTACACCTACCTTATCACCTTCCTGTACGTCACATATTTTTTCTCCTGTAGCAGGATTGATAGTTGGGAAAACCTTTCCACTGACAGAATTTACAAACTCGTTGTTGATAAAAATCTGCAATATAAAAATTTTCAGTTTAAAAAGAATAAATTTTTAATGAAAGACCAGACAATAGGCTGTCAGAGCAACTGCAACCGGATTTTTTAAAATTTATTTGTGTCTTGGCATTTTTCAATATTACAAGGACCATAACCATGATAACTCCTTAACAGTAAAAGTGAAAATTGTGAATACTGAACTTGACCTCCATTTTGTCATCAGTAACAACATATCAAAATTTGAAAAGCTTTGGATGAACGGTTCATGAGTTAATGCACGGACATAACTGGAAAGACCATTATTCAATCTTTCAAGAACCATAACTCCTGAACAGTAAAAGTGAAAATTTTATATATTTCTTACATATTTACGAATTTTTCAAATGGTCTGTATAAAAAAAAAGACTTTCCTTTAAGCCTTTGTCAGTCTCTTGTTTGATACTATATACATGCTATTTTTATGTCAGATAATGTATTATGATAAGTTAATTTTTACTTCAAAAGATGGTAGCAGTATGTGCTCTGTATAAAAAATACTGTCCATAATTGTACCCAAAAATGTTAGGAGTGTAATACTTTTAGTGCGACATTTATGTTATTTCTTATAGAAACAATGTTGTTATTGTTAGTTTTTTTTCTTGAATTTGAGTGTGAACACACCTGTTGCAGATCACCAGTAACAAGCATGCCATTATCAAGGCCTTCATTACTTTAGTATGCTCAATACTTGTACATCAGGAGTGTAACACATTTAAACTAGCTAGTTCAATCACAATTTAAGTTCAAAAATTTCAAAAGTACACATGTAGACTTGTCTTCTGTGTTAAGCTGAGGTGTAGTAATGTCATTTTTTTAATAATTATTAGCTTGTTTTTCTTCCCAATAACTTACCTTTGCTAATAAGATTGAAAAAAGGCTTTTTTTGTGTTACACTCCTGACATAGAAGTATTGAGCATACAAAGGCAATGAAGGCAATAATAATGGCATGTTTGTTACTGATGATCTGCAACCAGTGGTGCTCACTGAAATTCAAGAAAAAAGAACAACTATAACCATGATAACCATGATAACAGTATTGTTTCTAAAAAAAATAACATTTAAACTCAATTGTTACACTCCTGACAAACTTGTGTAGTCTTCTGATTGTAACCATAGTATTCCAGTAGTAGAACTTCAGGGTCATCTGGATGCACTGATACCAAGCTATGATACTAAACAACAAATACAAAACATGCAAGATGTGCATAAACATGTTATTTCACCTACAAACACATTTTCTGGCAACATATTGACTTTTACTAACATTTTATTTTTTGCACACACTTATTTGACATACATTATGCTGCTCATAAAAATGTAAATAGATGGAAGAATTGAACAAAATATCATAGTCAAGATATAATAGTTGGATGTTTGGTATTGTATCTGCCCTTATGTATTTCATATCATCAATGAATACACATGCTTTTTTTTGTGAATGTCACACTCCTGACATTTTGAGGTACATTTTTGGACATTATTTTGTATACAGAGCACAATTATTACTGCTACTATCTTTGGTAATAAGAACCAACTTATCATAATACATTATCTGACATAAAACATCACATATACTAAATAAAATAAGTATCAAACAAGAGACTGACAAAGGTTTAAAGGAAAGGCATCATTTTTTTTTAAATAACCCAAATGTCTCGCCTGCTTTACTGACCATTGATTTTATGTTGATAGTCCTAAACATAAAGTTTTACTACGAGTATCACATAAAAAAATTAACATGATCCAAGAAAATGAGGTCAAGGTTAGATAAACTAAACTGGAAATACATGTACACCTTGCAATCATTCCATACAACAAATATAGTTGACCTATTGCTTATAGTTTCTAACTATTAAACAATTAACCAGGAAAACTTAACATTGACCAATGAAACATGAAAACAAGGTCAAGGTCAGATGAACCATGCCAGACAGACATGTACACCTTACAATCAATCTATGCATTAAATATAGTTGACATAAGCCTTATAGTATCTAAGAAACAAACTTAATTATGAAAACTTAACATTGACCAATGAACCATGAATATGAGGTCAAGGTCAGATGATACCTGTCAGACAGACCTATACACCTTAAAATCATTCCATACACCAAATATAGTTGACCTATTGCATATAGTTTGAGTAAAACAGACCAAAACTCAAAAACTTAACACTGAGCAATGAACCATGAAAATGAGGTCAAGGTCAAATAAAACCTGCCCCTATAATATAAAATTGTTATATTTAATTTTCATGTTTTCAAACTTAAAGATATACTGAGGGACCATTTATAACACGCTCTATTCATAAGAAAACAAATACGTGAGTAAAAGTTCATTTGATGAGAAAAGTTAGTCTCCTTTGATCTTGAATTAACTTGTTAAAAAAAATCCTCAAACAGAATAAATGATTACTTTATTAACTTAGATCTATAATGAATGTGAATCCATTAATGAAATAAATGATGATTTACATTTTTTTCACAAATAATTCGCCTAGGTGATTGTTATATAAGAATTTTATTATGTAAGAATAAAATGTTAAAAAGAATATATATAAAAAAATCATGCACGTTGTACTGTTGTATTTTTTCCATTGAAAACTTTACATTTTAGATAGTTTTATGATTGTTTCCACCTGTTGGCATTTATACATCGCCAGATTTAAATACAAGTTAAAGAAGTCCTGTAAGGTAAATTAAACGAATGCAAGACAGAAAGTCACAGGACAAGAAGTCACAGACAAAAAGTCATGGAAAAAAAAAGTCACAGGACAAAAATTCACAGGACAAAAAGTCACAATTCAGTTTTGAGATTATTTTTCTTTGAATAAGAAAACACTTATTTTTAAAAACATGAATTGTATTTTTATTGAATTATTATAAGCAACTTGTAAAAAAATTTATTCCAAAAAAAATAATAATGATCATATAATTGTTCAGAAAACAATTTGTCAAAGTGGCTTGGTTATACTTAAATGGCTTCATGGTATCAAGAAATATAGCCTTTGAATGTTTAAAATTTGATAAATCTTCATTTACCAAGGCTTACAAATCATTTCCTTAACTGTAAAATGAATATATGTAATAAAAGAAATTATTTCAAGAACTTTCTCTTATATATTCAAACAATTTTAAACAAATTATTGTTATTACTCAGCTGTTTTAAACATGCAATGCATGTCATCGTCATATAATTTCGATAAAGGCGGGTATGTCCACGGACAAACATGAAATTAAATCGTCATTTCACAAAAAAGAAACAACAGCTCCATGTTGCTTTTTTTCAACTTTCAGGAAACATGGTGAATAATGATCTTCAATCACGAAAACATGTGAAATAAAAATTGCAAACACGTCGTACAAAAATAAGTCCTTACCATCCGTGTCAAAAAATGAAGTAGACTCGTCCACTGGAAAGACAAGGATATTGGTTTCATTTGTCATGCATTCCCGTTTTTGATATCCAAATGGATGAACTTTTTTTTTCAATCTATGAAACAAGAAAATTCCAAATTGTTTGTGAATATCTCTTATTATTACATTGGTTGCAATGAATTACATTGATTTCACAGTGAAAAAAAACCGATAATTTCACATGTGAAATAAACGTGGTTATTTCACTCCCCTGACGTCATACAACAATAGGCGTTGTCATGACGTCGGATCAAAACAAATTGTGAATGCTTAGAAAAAGATATAGTTCCTTACATATTCTAGTTTAATTTCAGAAAAAAGACTATTTGCCAATGTAATAAAAAGAATAACTAATCAAAGAATTCAAATATCGAAAAATATTCAACTCATGACCGAACAACACTGATAATTAACTCATGCGCTACGTGCATTCGTGAATTAATGTGTTGTTCGGTCACTCGTTGAATATTTTTCTCTATTTGAATTCTTCGATTAGTTATTCTATAACTCTTTAACTTGTCGTCTTTCATGTTTGGTTGTCCATTTCATCTATGATTATTTGTGCAAACAACATTTCAAGTACAGTTATGATTGTCTATTTTTAGATACGTAACACTTTTTTTTATTTCTTTACAACACAAATCATTTCTGTTAATGTTAATGCATTTAATTTCATAAAAAAAGAATACTTTTATTTATATTTCAGGGATAATATATTTGTTAGGGTTCACAGGTGGGAATAAAACGGCATGAAATGTCAATCTTATTTTTACTCTGGAAATCGGAAAAATAGGGTCAGCGGATCCATAAACCAACAAATTAAAAAACCCTGGCCAACGAAAAATTGATTACATTATATTTAACAAATATGTGATGAAAAAAAAATAAATAAATTAAGAATTAATTCATATGTGGCTTGAATTTATATTGATTTTAACACTGCACAGTTGGTCCTTATAATGCTTAATATTTTACAAGATAGCGAAAGGGAAGGGTAAATTATGTCAGAATAAAGGAATATGAATTCAAGCTCCTATGAATTATTTCTATTCTAATAGAACAAAGTCACAAAGACAGCAACTCTTTTGGATTGAAGCAGTGAAGGCAAATACTTGCTCTACCCTTTATTGAAGACACTATTTATATTTACAAAGTCCAGGAATATTTTAATAAACTGCTTCGCTGAGCGCAGCTGGATACGCCCGCAGAGGTCCAACCCTGAACAGTTGGGGCAAAAATGGACACAATATTCAAACTTGATACAGGTCTGAATTTGGATTGTAATTAAATATTTGACATATTATAGGTTTCTGAATAAATGTAGTCAAAGAACTTGAAATTGGTTATATGAATTGAATTAATATTCAATTAAAGATTTCTTGCTGTTGTGCAATACACTATGCTGTTGTGCAATACACTATGCTGTTGCGCAATACTTAGTAAATCTGTTGTCATGGTTGTCAGACTATAAACAAATAAAATTTATAAAATTCAAGAGGGAGCTTACATCAATAGATATAAACAATTCACCAAAGTTTCATAAGAATTGCTGACAGCATTTTTGAGTTATTGTCTGAAAACTGGAAAATCCCCCCTTTTTTAATGAATAAAACACCATAACTCGGAAATGTAAAATGTAAAATTTATAAAATTCTAAAGGGAGCTTACATCAATAGATATCAACAATTCATCAAAGTTTCATGAGAACATGCTGAAAGCATTTTTGAGTTATTGTCTGAAAACTGGAAAATCCCCCTTTTTTTTATGAATAAAACCCCGTAACTTAGAAACTTAAAATCTAAAATTTATAAAAATCAAAAGGGAGCTCATGTCAATAGATATAAACAATAAACCAACATTTCTTGCAAGTTGGTGAGAGCATTCTTGAGTTATTGTCCGAAAACTGGAAAATCCCCCTTTTTTTAATGAATGAAACACCATAACTCAGAAACGTAAAATCTAAAATTTATAAAAAACGAAAGGGAGCTCACGTCACTAGATATAAACATTTCACCAAAGGTTTACGCAAATTGGTTAAAGCGTTTTTGAGTTAATGTCAGACATGTTGACGACGGACGGACAGACAGACGGACGGACAGACAGAGGTATACCATAATACGTCCCGTAAATGAGCGTTAAAAACAAATATCTTGGCCTAGTTGGTACATGTGGTAAGAGCAGAAAATTATTAACCTTGCATAAGGCAGGATGAAAATGAATATTCTTCAACACAAAAATGCAGGAAACAGTTGGATGTGGGAGTATGATTGGAACAGCCCTAACAAATTTTGACTTTGCCGATCTGAACAGTGGCGGATCCAGAAATTTTCATAAGCCCAGTCTGACTGCCTAAGAGGGGGCCCGCTCCACTGTCATGCTTCAGTGATTCCCTATATAATCAACCAAATTTTTCCCACAAAAGGGGGGGCCTGGGCCCCCCCTAAATGCGCCTCTGGATCAGCTGACATACATTCTTTACCATGGGTCTGTAATCAAAGCAAGAGTTTAAAGAACATCATTAATCAGTCTAGCCTGAAAAATTGTTTTGTTCTCATTGGCAACACCATATTGATATGTTTGGATATATTTTGTACTAAGTAACATGGTTGCATCACAAGTGTTTGTCATTATTTTGAATATTTATTTATATTTTATAAATCTTATATAATGTACATTGTTGTCTAACTTCTATAAAACTTCTTCATTTGGTTTTTTGTCAAATATTTCCAATTAGATGAAAAGTTTTCTTTAAGAATGAAAAAAATGTCAAGTACTGTACCTGAGTGTATTTGATTTCTGGATTCCTAATTGGTGGTGGAAAATTTGCCATTGTAAGATTAGTTAATGCTAAACGCCTGCAAATGTATGACAAGTCCCTTACAATCGACTATCTTTGTCACGTGATTTCGATAAGTTCTGGATCTTAACTTGATATAGTCGAACCAGTACAGAAATTCAGAGTAGCCCCCCTTGTGTTTCCCGCTATATTTCCATATGGATGAATTCATGTGAAACATGAAACTAGAAATCAATACCAATGCCTAGTCAGTACAAAAAGTAAGACATGCAGAAAAGTTTTGACTTTATCTTTGTTGGTTTTGGTTTTACTCTATTGCTGCTATTGAATATAATTATTGTGTACATATATGCCAACTTAAAATTAAATTTACTTAACTTAAAAATTAGAAAATTACTTGATATAATTTATAAATAACTTTCACTTTCGCTTTCAGTTTTTTGGAAATCATTAAAAAAATGAAACATGTGACAGGAACGTCTATTGGCAACCATTATGTTTAACTGGAAAACTTTTCTCTGTGGAATAAGAGAGGTAAATGTTTTAAACACTGAGTTTTTGAATATTACTAGAGGTTTTGTTTGGCAGGTTGGGGAAGATCCTAATAAATGGGTACTGTTCTCATTCATGGGTATTAAAACCAAAATCGGGTATCAATTTACAGTGATTAAAAATCAAATTTTGTATTTCATCTTAATCATTATGTCTGTGTTAGACATTCAAATTTAGAACTGAATACAAAAATATCCCACTTTTTCAAGGCTATTAACTTTTCCAGATGATATTTCAGTCATGGTGTCTTTGGCCAAAATGTTGTCTGCTTTACCTGAATGTTTGAGTCATGACAACAAATATCTTGAAATCAAAAGTTTATACTTTTATTACTGAAATATGATACCTGTTTTAAGGTATAATACCCATTTATGAGATCTTAAAAAATTCCCCAACCTGTTTAGGAGAGGACAGCCAAGGTAATTGACCTTTTTCAAATCCTTACAAGTTTAAACCCTGCTTTCATGAACTGGAATTATTCATGAATATTCTGGAATAATTCTAGAACATTCATGAATAATATTCATGAATATTCATGAATATTCAAGGTTACAATGCATGAATATTCATGAATATTCTTGAATGTTAAATGGCACCTTGAATATACATGAATATTGTGTGAACTGAATAACCAAGAATTAACATGAATATTTATCTACAGAATATTCTTGAATGTGAAAAAGGATGTCCATGAGTATTGATAGTGGAATACTGACTAAGGATAACCATTACTGTGAAATAAGATGTCCATGAATATTGAATGGTTGAATATTCTAGAATAACCATGAATGTGAAGTAATTTTCCATTAACATTTTAGAACAACCATGAATGTGAAATATCCTTGAATATTCTAGAATAACCATGAATGTGAAATATCCTTGAATATTTTAGAATAACCATGAATGTGAAATATCCTTGAATATTCTAGAATAACCATGAATGCGAAATAGATGTTCTTGAATATTGAATGTAGAAATAAATTTAGAATTCCATGAATACAAATATGAGGGGCAGAAGGTCTTTCTCGAGCTTTTATTTTTGCAGGAATTCAGAATTTGACCTTTAATATGCAGTTCTAAATATATTTTGCTATTTTTGCATTCTTGATATAAAATATTTAAAATATTAAATGACATTTTAATTAAGAAAATCACTTTAATGCCCCTGGTGACGGTGTCTGACCCTTGCGAAAATGGGTCAGGATATCACAAGACATCCCCAGCAGGATAATCTTGGGAAAAATCCGAGGGCAATCTTGAGATAATCCTTATCCTGAGATAGGGTTAAACATGGGATGGTATTGGAACAAGGATATTCCAGGGATATCCAGAGACCATCCAGACCATAAATATCATCATGATCATAGTAAAGAATCTTGTGATAATCCTGTGCTTAGGATTCATCAGGTCCTGGTCTCAGGAAATTATCCTGATGTCTGGATTTACAGATTTGCTTGCATTAAGTTGGCCCTGGGATAATCCTTGGATAATCCTGAGAATGTCCTTAGTTCAGGACCAATAAAATGACTTAATGTCTTGCATGTATTCTATAAGGAATTAAAAAAATTGAGTAAAATCTATTTTTAATGCACAAATTTGTTCTTTTGCAAATATTTTCTTTTATTAGTTTAAATCCATATTCCTCATTATAAGGTAGATGAATATTGCCCTTGTTGTATCAAATCTGTCATGTATATATAAACATTGCGGCATGAATTACTTTGTATTGGCTATGTTTAATATCTTATTTCAATGGCTGTCAAGTTCCCATTTAAAAAAATGTACTTGTATTTAATTTCAGATCCTTAAACTTCAATCAAAATTATAGATACTAGTACTACTTACTAGCAAACTTGTTTGCCATTTTTAATGGCTGCTTATATTGTTAAATTACCCATTTAAATGGTACTCACCCCACCCCTCCTCCCCATGTTCACTAACACCTTCAAGCATTTCATTGTCTTAATTGTATTTAGATACACGGTTTTCACCATGGCTTAATGATGCTCGCTGTTCAGTTTCAAATATTATAATATTAAAAATGTGTGTCAGATATAAAGGATACATGTGAAGTTCTCCTCCTTTCTGTAATTAAATTTGCTGTCTCTGTACTTCCAACTAGTTTTGCTGAGTAAAGATAACTGGAATCTGCATGCAATCCGTTTACTTTCAAAATTGGCAGCTCCATTTAATCATTTAATCCCCTAAAAGTATCAAAAAAATCCACAAAGAATCAATTGTTCTAGACATTTTGAAGCAATAAATTCAATAGAAATATTATTGCATGTTTATACAGTATACATTGGAAGCCATTTGGAATCAAATTAATTACCCTCCCCCTTTTTTTATCCCCTGAAGATAAAAAACTAGCGACTTTTTATTTTCACCAAATAACCATTCACACAATTCAATTAAATTTTTACATATCTACCAGTTATGCCTGTTATGTGACAACAAGATTATTCAATGTTGTTAAAAATAAATATATTTTCAGTTTATACTTTCAGATTTTCTGATGTTCATTTGCTAAAAAAAACCCTTAAAAAATCATAGTTCCTCAATAAATTATATTTTATAATCTCATTATATACACATGTTAAATTAAATTTTTAATGCACTTATCTGAAAACATCTTCACATGGAATCTTCTATTTTGCAACAGCGTAATCACATTTTTATGACGTTTTTATTGAGTACGCTTAGACGTCGAGGTGACAATCTCGCCCCATATTATATCGGCCAGAAGTTGATCCGTCCCCGTAACGGTTTATAAAAATAAATCAAGGGTGTCGTATAAAAGTATTTATTACTGGCCAGATTTTAAAAATAAGAAAAAAACAACTTTAATTTAATCGGCACAGGGTCTTGTGAGCTTATGCCATCACTTGGCGTCCGTCGGCGTCCGTCGTCTGTCGTCGTAAACTATTTCAAAAATCTTCTCCTCTGAAACTACTGGGCCAAATACCTTCAAACTTTAACTAAATGTTCCTTAGGGTATCTAGTTAATAAATTGTATCCAAAGTTTTGATCCATTGACAAACATGGCCACCATGCCTAAAAATAGAACATAGGGGTCAAACGCAGTTTTTGGCTTATATCTTAAAAACTAAAGCTTTTAGAGCAAATCTGACATGGGGTAAAATTGTTCAATTGGTCAAGATCTATCTGAGCCCTGAAATTTTCAGACGAATCGAACAACCCATTGTTGGGTTGCTGCCACTAAATTGGTAGTTTTAAGGAAATTTTGCAGTTTTTTGTTATCTTGAATATTATTATAGATAGTAAATGAGAGTCAACATCTTCCTAGGTTTATATCTTTAATTATAAGGATGACTGATACCTGAAATGTATATATACACAGTACATTAGTAAATGATTAGTTATCTCAAGGATACCAAAAAAACTTTTAAACAAATAAGGTCAAGTCTATAAGAAAATAATTCTTAAGGAATGTTCTGTTAAGTCTTCTGGACGCGAACAAAATTAAACACATGATGTCCTTTCACAATTTCAAACAAAAAGTCTCTAGATTCACTTATTAATGTCTAAATATAATTCATTAATCAGTTCCTGATTCATCAATGTTATTTTCTGTTATGTATCGGCGGCCCGGTCTTCGTGGTGCCAATAGTTCCTTTTCCCAAGCTTTATTGTGTGGCTGAAGACGGGAAAGAGCACATGGTATCCTAGTTATAGCAGGTACATCTGGTTCAGGGGTGTGGTGGTATGACTGGTCCAAATCTATTTGTGGAGGCTGTTGAATTGTCTGAGTTGCCGGTTTTTGAGTGGGGACTGTAGTCGGTGTCTCATTCAATGCAGCTGGTTGACTTAAGATTCTTGATGGTGATAAAGACAACGGAATCTTGGGCACTTGTGGCTGTGTCGTCTTGGAATTAGGTGGAGAGTTCAAGATTACTTCCTGATGTTGAACTGTAGTAGGTACAATCGAAGTACCTTGTGTTTGGTTGGTTTGAAAAGGAGTGAACCTTCGAAGGTGCTGGCGGTTGCGGATAGTAACTCCGCCTGTGCCAGCTACACGTATAACATACTGGTGGTATTGGCGTACTTCAACAACTGCTCCTGTGCGTTCCCACCTCCTGGGATGGTTGCCTACCAAGTTTTGTATGTACGCATGATCTCCAACCTGTAGTGTCGGCAGGTGATGAGTGTGTTCATTCCACCGTTCATGTTCCCTCGTATGACGTTTGGCAAGTGCCATCTCTCGATGAGACATTAACTCAGTCCATGTTTCGTGAGGAGAATATCTACCCATCAGGATGGGAATAGCATCACGATTGGGTCGTCCAAACAGAATCAATGCTGGTGATGCTTTTGTCTCTGGGTCAATAGAATTTCTGTACATCAGTAAAGCTCTCTGGAATTTATCAACATCCAGCGATCCAATAGCAGTGATGTTGTCCACCAGCATGCGTTTCATTGTTTTTACCGCCATCTCAGACCTGCAGTTAGCGTGTGGGTTTGCAACTGATGAAAGTCTATGACGAACCCCCCAGGCCTTTAAAACTCTCGAGTCTTCCCTGCTGTGAACTGTGGACCTCCATTGGACGTCAACTCTTCTGGGATGCCAAATGTCACGAACGTCTTTCGAAGTCTCTTGACAAGTCCCTCTGCACCTGATTCAGACTTGTATACCATTGGCCAGTTTGAATACCTGTCAACAATAACTACATAGTCATTACTGTTATATGTGAAGTAGTCACTGCAAATCATCTGGAACGGATAATCTGGAGGTGTTATGTCAGATGGTGGCTGCATAGGGTTTGACTTGGCCATCTGATGGCAATGAACACACTGGTCTCTCACCCGGGTAATATCTACTGTGATCTCAGGCCAATACACAGAGTCCATGGCCCTTGCACGCATAGCGCTGACTCCTTGGTGGGCTGCGTGTAGAGCATTGAGTACTGGTTTGCGAAGAGCTGGTGGTATAACAATTCGTTGGCCCATAAGAACTACACCAT